CAGCTAAACTGAGATTCATTCCAATACAAATTCTAGAACCACCACCAAATGGTATAAGCTTAGAAGTTGCTTCATTACTCGATGTGTCAAATCTTTCTGGTAAAAATGTTAATGGATTTTTGTATAATGTTGATGAAAGGTGTTGCAAATAAATTGCTGGTAATAATATTGTATCTAATAAATTGAATTATTATTGTTAACATTTATTTATTTGCTAATTCTAATTATCTCCTGAATACTTACTTTCAGGTATGATGAATTCACCAAAACGGAATTTTTTTTGAGCGACTCTAAGGCCAGTAGTACTTGCAGGTGGATGTAGACGTAAGGTTTCATTAATTATCATATTGACTAATTTCATTTCTTTGAGTTGATCAGATGTAGGAATGGCATCCGGCTTGCAACCATTCACACCATCACCGCTCATAACATTTAACACTTCTTGTCTAGCTTTATTCTGATACTCGGGATGCATTCCCAAATAAGCTATTGCACATGATAGTGCTGTAGACGTTGTGTCATGACCGGCCAAGAAAAATAATTTCAAATCGTTCATGATTTCATCTTTTGATAAAATATATTTTCCGCTCTCATTTCTTTGAGCTTCTAACATTAATGTTAATAAATCTTTATCATCATTATTGTTATCTTTGTTGTTGTTGTTTGATGATGATGATTCAATTTTTTGAATTTTTTCATCTACAATTCCAGCCAAAAATTCATTTATGAGATCAAGTTTTTTCATTAATTCTGTTCGTTTAAATCCTGGAATTTTTTCAAGTATCGGAAAAATCAAGTAAGTTGTATTTGCCATTGCTTTCATTACTGAGTTATATGCATCCAAGATTGAACTCATGTTATTTGAAATTGCCTAAATTTTTAATAGGATTTGATGGTTATTATTTGCTATATAGTAAAAAAAATATATTTTTGGATTTGAAAATATTTTTTACATTAAAATCATATTCAAAAGTTGTACGACCAAGTACATCCAAAGTGTACCTTTTGAAAATAATCAAATAATTAATTAGTTAAAAAAGTCAGAGATATAATAGGCACCACAATTCCTTCAATATCCAATTACTTATCATCATAACAATAATCATACCTTTGAGTCAGCGCGACAACATCAACCTTTGGATTTTTTTCTATCATCTTATCCATTTCTTTAAACAAATCTAAAGCCAAATTACCAAACAATTCTGTTGACCACCCACGATGAAATGCAGGATTTGCTGTTTTTCTATGTCTACGATGTTCCTATAAACAACAACATCATAAATATAGTTATATAGTATTTTAGATGAAAATATTTGTAATAAGCATTCAATAAATATATAATAAACACATATGTGAGATAACTTACGTCTCCGTTTACAAACAACATATTAGAATGACCAATATAATTAAATTCAAATTCTGACATTGGTCTTTTCTTTAAAAAATAATAAATTGTATTTAATTAATATATATATAAAGTACCATGATAATAAATATATATATGTATGTGTGTGTTGAAGATTTATTACTTTTGAGTCAAATTTCAAAGTATCTTTTGATTTAAAAATTTAAAAATTAGTTATTTTTTTTAAAAAAATTATATTTCACCAAATCGATTATTAATTGAAAATTTACCATCTTTATGCATCACCTCTTTAAAGTATTCAGGTTTTGCTATGTAAATAACCCAATTTTGAAGCAATACATCAAAAACCTACACAAATATTTTATAAATGATGAATTGATGAATGAGCCAGTTTTGGACATAAATAAAAAGTGACACATACTCTAGCAATGCCCTTTTCTTCAATAATTGGCAAGAAAAGTTCTCGCAATGTTTTTTTAAAGGGATCTTTTTTAATATAATGTCTCTTTGTATACTCAAAAAATGGTATAACTGGGATGCCTTTTAACTCTGGTGAAATTTTGACTTTATTATATATCTTATAAATAAGATACAATATTGTAATTAATATAATATTTAACAAGTAATTCATTTTTTTAATTTTTTAATTTTTACGAGAAAAAAAGTCGATATATATATTAATATTAATATTAAATACTAATATAATAATAAGCAATACAATGAAATGCATTGACTATAATAATCAACATGACAAAGATTTTTTAATTTGTTTATTCCTCCTTTTAACATGAGTTACTTTTTAGTAATTTAATATTGATAATTTTTAATTAGTAATCAGATATAGTGTACAAAGGAAACTGCTAAAAATAAATTTATCGGAAAAACGAATAAAATGTTAATAATTAAAAATGATTTTCCAGTTTATTATTTAATGTGTAGTACTAATTAATGGGAAATTATTATTGTTGAGACTTAATCTTTAGTGAAACAAACAATCAGAAAGAATTTGAATATCTGGCAAAATGCGGATTTGAAGCAAGCAACATGGATAAATTCTAAAATATATTAAATAGATAATCTTTAAACATAAATAATTATTTATAATAATTCATTGACCGTTGCTGTGATAATTATGGATTAGGAGAATAATGAATCAATATGAAACGGTCAATCGATCATAAAAAACATGAAATCTTTTTCTTACAAAATGAATTATTTCCTGATATAATGAACCTACTTACCACTGCTATATAGATATACAACATATACGGAAAAGGGAATAAAACCGTATGGAAAATGATA